CTATAAAATTTTACCTAAAATATTATGTTATTCCATATTTACAGGCAAACAAGTGTTGCATCCTGGGTTTTCTGATAGGTATTAATCTTATCTTTTATATAATAATCTTATAAACATATACTTCACGCAATTCTTTATCTTTTTTTAGCGATTACGGCAACTGATATCCGTAGAGCAATGAATAACTTGACTTTTCCAAATAAGAATGAAGCTTTAGGTTAGTACTAATGCATATATATTTGTTATCTATTTAATTATTAAAAGTTCGTCCTTTTTGTTAATTATTTACAGCTGTGGATGCACGTCAGGAATTTGATCTCAAAGTAATCTATAGAATCACTATAGAATCATAATATTTAATCATAATATTTAATCATAATATTAAATCATAACAACTTTTATGTACTTTCTATTCAATTTCAATGGTTCTTTTTTTTTTTTTATCAGGTTGGCTGTGCCTTTACACGGTTCCAAACTAGATTTTTTAACCAAAAATATGGAAACCTTGATTCTAGTGTAATATCCTATGGTCCTTGTCAAACACCTACTCTTTCTTTTTGTGTTTCTCGACACGATCAGATCAAATCGTTTAGTCCAGAACCATTTTGGACTTTATCGGTTTCTGTAGCTAAACAAGGTACTAATGGCTTGCAGTGTGGCCCTGAAATAAATCTTAGTTGGGAGAGAGCTAGAGTTTTTGATAAAAACGTTGCAACAACATATCAAGCTATGGTTAGAGAATGTAAAGAGGCCAAGTATGACCTTCCTTATTTCATCTATCAAATAAATGAATGCTTCAATTATCGATCTATTTTTAATCTTTCTAATCTTGCGTTAATCTTGTGTCAGAGTAATATCAATTTCTCTTATGAAAAAGACAAAAAGCAGACCAACTGCTTTAAACACTGTTTGTATTTTTCTTTTAACTCTTTCACATAACTTTTAAGAGGTTCCTATTTTTTATAAAAATTTTTTTTAATGTCATAGGTTGAGTTGCTTAAATTCGGATCCTCTAATCTTGGTATTGGTCCTCATGATACCGTAAGTTTAACATGAATGTGTATGGCCATTAAATTCCTTTAAAATATTTTTTTAATGAACTATTTTCCTTGATGGATATGATAGATGCTTATAGCAGAGCGGCTTTACACTCAAGGATATATATCTTATCCACGTACTGAGACTACTACTTATCCAAAAAATTTTGATATAAGATCTGTTTTGAAGGATCAATCAAGTCATTCCTTATGGTAAGTTGTTAATAGTACTTAATTTTCTTAAATACAATACTATTAAACACTTGAAATTATTTTGCAGGGGATCATATGCAAAGGAATTATTTGAAAAAGGATTTGAATGGCCAACAGGAGGCACTGATGTTGGTAAATATATATATATGGAAATTAACTTCGAATGAGTTTAGCATTGTAAATAGCACATATTAACATTTTCTTATTTAGGTGATCATCCACCTATGTATGTATATTATGTTATATTTAAAAATATAACGAATATTTATATTTTCTCATATCTGAATGTAATCGTTTTAGAACTCCTATGCGGGTAGCAAATGAAGGTGATTTGTCCGGTGATTCTTGGAGAATTTATAATTACGTAACTCGGCATTTTCTTGGTTCAATCAGCCCCAATTTAAAATATCAAAAGACAAACGCCATTATAAAAATTGGTGATGAAACTTTTGAATGTTCAGGTAATATTTTATGAACTCTTATTGATTCTATAAAATTTTACCTAAAATATTATGTTATTCCATATTTACAGGCAAACAAGTGTTGCATCCTGGGTTTTCTGATATTATGCATTGGTATGAGCTTTATTATGACATCTGATTTAGATCTAGCTATAGTCGCTAATTTATATGCGTATAGGCGAACAATGTCTGATAAAACTATGCCAGAACTTCATCAAGATGAAATTTTAAAAGTTACAAATGTCAAGTTGGTTGAAGGAAAAACAAGTCCTCCAGACTATCTCACAGAAAGTGAAGTAATTAGTTTGGTATGAACAATTATATATCGTAATTTTGTAATCCTAATATGATATGCGTGTATGTTGTTTTAATATTTTAATTATTTATATAGATGGAGAAACATGGTATAGGAACAGATGCATCCATACCAGTTCATATTGATAATATATGCCAACGAAATTATGTAACGGTAAATTATATAATAATTCTTTGTGCTTTGTCTTTGAGAAAAAGATATACATAAATATTTATTCATATAGGTTCAAGGTGCTGCACGTAGACTGGTTCCTACTAATTTAGGTAATAAATTGTCTTTTGCTACTGTATGTGCTTTAGCCGATAAAAGAATTACTAACTCATTTTTTTGTTTTAAGGAATTGTTTTGATTCATGGGTAATACGCGATTATATATATATTTTTTGATTAAACATTTATTTGATTAATACAATTCTTTATTCTCTATGCCTTTATTTAAAAATAATAATAGATATCGTATCCTTCATAATTCTATTATTGATTTAAAATAAAAGTTTCATTTTATCTTGAAATATATATTTGCACTTAACAACAATTAATTTTTATACAGAAAAAATCGACCCAGAACTATCCCTCCCTACAATGCGAAGCGATGTTGAAAAACAGTTGAATTACATAGCACTAGGTAGAGCTAGACAAGCTGAAGTGTTGGAATATTGTTTAAATTTGTTCGCTGCAAAATTTAAATATTTTAGAGAAAATGTTTGTTTATAATTATTATATATATATATTTGGTTAAATTAATGAAAATACTATTTTAACTGCTCTTTACTCAATTATTAGATCGCAAAAATGGATGAATTGTTTGAAGCAACCTTCTCACCTCTTGCTTCAACTGGAAAAGTCCTTACAAAATGTGGGAAATGTAAACGGTATGTATTTTAAAATTCGTTTGAGTTTATTATTTTCTCAATTGTTATTTTATTTTATTATTATTTTTTTTTTAAAGGTACTTGAAATTTATTGCTTTAAAGTATGTATTACATTTAATTTGTTTATTTTATTATCATGATTGTTGTCTTTAACCTTTTCTTTATTATAATTCATGAAGGCCTGTACGTTTACATTGTTCAACTTGTAACGAAACTTATTCGTTACCTTCAAATGGGAATATTAAGGTATTTATCGTTTTATTATTTGCTGGTTATTTTTGCCTTGGACTTTTTATTCATTTTACTTTATAGGATTATAAAGGACTTGAATGTGTAAGTAAATATTAACTTGTAAACTCTACGAATAAACCATATGTTAAATTTTCCCCTTTTTTTCATGTAGCCACTTGACGGTTTTGGGCTTGTATCATTTTCAACTGGTTCTAAGGAAATTGGCTATCCATTATGCCCAAATTGTTATAATAACCCACCTTTTGAAAACATAAAAAAAGGTATTTAGTCTTATCTAGAATTAAAGGTCAAGTCTTCATTTTTTTTTTTATTAATATATATTATTATTATAGGCATGGGGTGTAATCGCTGTCCTCATCCTACATGTGAACATTCATTAATTAATAATGGAGTCTGTTCATGCCAAGTAAATTCATGTAATGGTAGAATGGTATTAGATGCAACGTCAGCACCTAAGTGGAAATTATCTTGTAATGTATGCAATTTCGTTTCCGTATTTACAGATATGGTTAAAGGTATATAATAAATTAAAAAAAATTTGTCTCTTTTTTTCATAATTTACAAGTTTTATAATAATCCCTTTTTTTTCGAAAGGTGTTTCCATATCAAAAGATGAATATTGTGAAAATGAAGAATGCAATTCTCGCTTATTAAAAATTGAATTTCGAGAAAATCAAAATAAGAGACCTTTAAAAGGATGTATTTTATGTGAAGACGAAATCGCTGAATTATTAGAAAACAAGTAAGGTTAACTTTAATATTTTTTCATTTACTTTATGATGTTAACTTGCTTTATTCTTTAAGGTTTGCAAGGAAAGGTATTAATAATTATAGGGGAAGAAGAGGAAGAGGAAGAGGAGGTGGAGCTAGTGGGCGTGGAAAAAGAGGTCATAGTCGAAGTCATAGCCGAGGTCGAGGTCGTGGCAATCACAGGGGAAGAAAACATTTCAAAGCTCAATAATATTTTATTTTGTTTTTAAAAAAAAATCACAATATTTGACTTTTTTTAAACAAAATAACATACTTTGTCTTGTAAATTGAGATAAATTATGTTGTAAGGTTTTTATTATATGAATATATACATGTAACTTTTCAATGTAAAAAAAACTTTCGATATAGGAAATACCAATAAACCTTCCGATACTAGAAAGTTGGTCAAAGTTATTAATAAAGGCTGTTACCCATCTTTCTTGTATCGGGAGTTTTTGGTATTTTGTAATGTAAAATGGGATTTTAATCACAATATTTAAAAATTATTTGTTGAAAAATTTCTCAAAAATTAAGAACGTTTTATTTATGCCTTTCGGAATGAACTAAATATATAGTAGAATCTACTATATATTTAATTGATAGCTAAATAGGTTGTACCTAGTAAAAGTAAGGTATGTCTTTTTAAAATATATACAGGTTACCCCGTTAATATCAACCCATTTGGCTTAGACAATTATGTTGATATATGCGAGGGCGGGATAGTTTTGATATAGCCTAAGCCTATTTTTTCTTAATACGTAAGAGGTCGATATTAACGGGAGGTTGATATAAACGGGGTTGATATTAACGGGGTAACCTGTACTAATGGTAAAATTCTATTACTGAAGTAAAAATGGAGTGCTATTTTGATAAAAAATTAAGAAATAAGTTGGTTATAACAATGTTAGAGCAGTTGTGACAAAAGCCAAAATTTTTTGTTAATTTTGTTTAAAATCTTTACTACATATTAAATTTCGAACTTTTTGAAAATTCGTTTTTAAAAATAAAAAATATTTATATTTAATATAAGGCCGTTCGAAGTTAATTTTTGGGTCATCACTTTCTAGGACTCTCGGAAGGAGGAAGAGGAGGAATGAAACGATCATACAAAATGAACCATTTTTAAAGTAGCAAACCTATTATGACGAATTTAAAATTTTAGTTGATTAGGCTAGACAAATTTGATTCAGTGTTGTACATTACATTCTTCTCACAAGAGAGAGGAGTAAGAAAAAGAAAGTTATATACCATATTCCTTTCATAATAGACATCCTTTGTACAATTTTTACAGCAAAATTCTCGTGATCCAGTGATCAAATCTACATAATCTTAGTACGTACTATCGCTATTTGAAACATTAACATAGAATTGCCTCCAAAAATAAAAATTTCGTGTTTTTAGGTTAGGGTCAGGATTTTGTCATTAGATTGGTGTCTAAAAACATTCATTGTTTCAAAATTTTACAAGGAAAACTTTTAATTAATGCTCAGAAGGCAGTTTCATAGACTAAATTTTGTGTTATGAGCGATTTTTTACAAAACGAACTTTGTTTTGAATTTGGTATGTTATATCTGATTATCTGTTATCAGATATCATCTTCCCCAGTATCACCACCAAAAAAAAATGCAGTCATGTGATAAAGATAAAAATCTTAAAATTTATTAAGATTAGAGTTAGTAGTGTTATACTATATTAGGTATTCTAAAGATCATTTCCTATGTGAATTTTTGAGTTATGAACGATTTTTGGCAAAGCACACGTTTGTTTTGATTTTTCTAATTACGCCCTTATTGGTTTGCATCACAAAAATATCACATGACTGCATTTTTTTGTGGCAATACTGGGAGTTTTTGAGACTCTGGCACAGAGACCCAGAAAATTTTATATATCAAATTACAAAAATTTATTTAGATATTGACCAATATTTGGATAATATTTAAATAAAAAATTTGAATATTTGGGATTATTTGGATTATTTTTTTAGACAATTTCTATTTGAACAACAGTATATGAAACACTAGTATATCAAAAGCCAATAAAACCAATCAGATTACACGATCAGGTGTAACGTCAAATTATTGATTTCTTTAATAATCATTTATAAACCCACCTTTTTAGCATTAATAAAAAAAATAAATTTTATAATTAATTAATTAATAATAAAATTGTGTTTAAAAAAATAAAAATTTCTAGACTTGTAGTGTTTAATATACAGATTTAATTTGCAGATCTGTATAATATACAAATCAAAACAGTTTG